TGTTTGTTTTTTTCGGTTTCACTTGTCTCTTTCTCTTCTGCCACCCCTCTGCGGGCAGACTCAGGGTGAGGCTCCAGGGCAGGGTGAAGACCTTGTAAAACCTTCTGGGACAGACCATTGGGTAATCCACCCGAAAGTCTCCATCCCAATGCCAGATGAGAAGTCCATGGAAAAGTGCCGCTTTCACCTGTTTCTACTTCCAAACCCCCGCCTGCCTTTTCTGATGTCATTTCTAATCTTTTTAGCAGTGACACTTTGGTGGCTCCTGTTCTTATGAATGCTCCTTCTTTGGGAATACAAGTTGTGTTCAGCTCCTGCTTGGCTGTTCAGTATTCCCCTTTCTGATGGCTGTGAACTGTACTTTTTAGAACTGTATAAATATACCTTTACATTCGACGAAGTAGCTTCTGTGTGGCTGGTTCTCCAGGGTATTAACATTTCAGCTCAACGTGTCTTGGTTCAGCTGGGAGTACAGTGCATGCCTAAACTATTTTTATGCACCTATTTCGTTCTCCCTAAAGGACCAAAAACCTAAGACTCATGTTGGATATACCAAACAACTGTCTGTAACATTTACAAATATATAAATGTTTCAACAGCTTATCAGAACTGAAGATATCTGTGGTCATATTTCATTTATTTATTTATAATACTATGAAGGGAAGTAGTGAACTGCACGCAGTATACTTCTTGAGTAATCCACTTTAAGGACAAAGCAGTCAGCCTCTCCTCAGCCTGTTATGGCTAATAATATAAAGCAGTAGATCATTCTCAGTTACACAGAAAATCTTAATGTAGCGTGAAATACCTCTGGTAAGGTGCAGGAACATTTCAACACTAATTGCAATTTTGTTATTATCTTATTCGGATAAAACAACTTGGGTTTTAGGTTCAGTGGCCCTTTAAATTAGGTTTTATGTTTATATGTGTGTGTTTGTATAAACATAGGTAACTGTACTACACTTCTGCATCACACTGCCTCTAATGTCTCATGCCTTCCCAAAAGCCAAGGAACTGACAATGACCACTAACAATGGAATCGAAGTATTTGGACTCTTCACTATGTCTTTTCTTTAATTCAGATATAATCATTCTTGTTTTTATGTTTACCACTTTTGGTTGTCCATAGTGGCCTTTACCCATTCTATTATTGTAAGCTACAGGCGTAATGGAAACATGAACTCTTTAGTGATGGACTGTTGTATAGCAGTGTCCTCAAAAGTCGTCAGTTTGAAGTAGTAATGCTTTATATGATGTTTACTAAAATAGAAATGTGGTATCTTAAGAATGTTCTTAGATTGTAGCAGGGCTAATACTTCCAGCACTACTTTGCTAATATAATGCTTTGTATAAATAGTTTCTTGATTCCTCGGTTGACTATCATATTGTCATGCATTCTTGTTTCTTCTGATGGCACACAAATCCATCCTAAGATTTACTTTAAACTTGCATACGAATTATAAAATCTCAAATACAGATAGTCATGTGAGCTGCTGCTTGTATATTTTTATGAAATCAAGAATTGAAGTTGTCTGTTTTGATGCTTTAGACTTTGCAAAACAATATTATGATGCAAATGGGAATTTCTTTAATAAAATGGCTAGTATTTTAAAACATGTTTGGCATACGGTGTAGGATATGCTTGTCTGATTCAGTGGAAAAACGCCTTGAATGAAAGCTTTCTTTCAGATGCCAGCTTAACCGTATAACAGGCTTCATGTATAGAAAACTGGAAGAAGGGGGGAAAAAAGAGGGAATTCTCAGAAATGAATTATAATTGGAATCTGTATTCCTTTGACAACACATCTGTTTTCTTCCCGTCTTTGTTTACACAAATATCTACTATCCTTCCCCCAGAATATATTCTTTGCCTCCTGAGGGGCAATTCAATGCCTTTAAAAAAATCCTCATTTGGTAATGTAGTACAGCGTTTCTCAACTCGATGAATCCCTTTAAAAAAAAATATATTTATAATGTGCCCATTGGTGTGGTTTACCAAGCCAATATTAACCTTTGGCATGTGGACATTTATAAGGATTATCCCCTGTTTATATATAAATGTTTTCCAAACAACCCCTTGCTCTTTTAAATAACTAAAGCACCGCCTCAGGTCTGTTGTATATATGATTTTATATTCAGTCTCTATTCTGATACCATCAATTTACTTTAGAAAGCAGAAGTCCCCTATTTACAATTCACGTGCCAGCTCGTTAAATACTGTTAGGAGATGCTACAAATTATTGTCCCAACAATGTTTTTGTTGTGTTCCATGAACTTGAAGTTGGACCTCCAATTTTTGTTTTGCACATCTGTTGTCCTGAGCCTTTACCCTTCAGAGCACAGTTATAGCCATATTAAGGCCTCGCTATTAAAATATGATGTGGCATTACGGATATAATACTTTACTTTTTTTTCTGCTCATTTGACAAATGTAAATGATTTGTCCTCAAGTGAACCCTACTGGCTCGGGTGCAAAGCTTTCATGAATGCTGCAAGTCTGGTAAAAATTCTTACAATGTGTTTGTAATTTGAAGGATACTGTACGGATGGTATCTGCCCATTGTCTTAGTGTTACTACAGTATGTATACTGGGTTTTTTCTAGCTGTTCTATGAACAATTAATATTGCTTTTTATAGTATAGTTTTGTATCTCAACTGTTAAATTAGAGTTTATTTGCCCTTTATGGAAAATTTGCACTTTAATATCCTTGCTTTAGTATATAACGGATTTACTGTTACAATTGTGCTTCTGCTTCTTAAAATACTGGTTTATTCCTTTTTCTCTTTTCCCTTCCTTAATCTGTATCATTTGTCGGTTATACTTCTCCTGGTCCCTGATTCCTCACTAATTTTAAGTATTTTGCTTATTGTTTTACCCATGTTCTTAAGGGGACACTACTCCATAGGGCAGATGTTACTGTGTCTTTGTTAATGAATATACATGTAAGGCTGGGTTCACACCTAGGCGTATTACGCATGCACGTCTGTCGCGCGACCGTCACACGTTTTTTTTACCGCGATGCGCGGTAAAAAAAATCGCGCGACCGTCGCGCGATTCCGAAGGCTACTTGGCTGTATCCCAATCGAAAACGCCCTCCAAAACGGCCCAAAGAAGTACATGTACTTGTTTGGGCGTCAGCCGTTTTGTAGGGCATTCAGACGGGCGGAAATACGGAAAGGTGTGAACCATACCCATAGAAAACAATGGGATTTTCATGGTTGTACGTTTTGTAGAGCGTTCATAGAGCGTTGAACGCCCGACAAAACGGAAAGGTGTGAACGGGGCCTTACTGTTTCCTATTTTAGACTTTATTTGTCCCTATTAGACATAATTATATGTGGAAATACTAGTTAACATGTTTGTCATTAGTGGTAGGAGGTTTTGGAAGAAAATGATAAATGTCTAAGTTTTTCAAGTCCTCATTTGAGTTCAGGATTTAAAATGTTAATTAATTTGCAAACCAAGGATTCTTTGTGGACCTGGTTGGGCCTGAAACATAACCCTTCTTACAGGTGAGTTGAGTGGAGGGAAAAGTTTATAGCAGAACTCCAATACAGACATACCAATATAATGCATTTTAAGATTGCTGTAGTATAGTTGCCTTAAATCTGTCTTTATATAATAATCTCAGACTCCTGTGCACAGCAGATATCGGACAGTCAGAGGTGTGCGCCAGTGAGACTGTGTTGCATTTTAATGCTGTCAGTCTTACAGGCACTGGGAGCTGGTAGGGAGGTGTCTGCTTATTTTACATGAGGTGGATAGCACAGGGAGTACCTCAGCGAGTCCTACCTATTTGATGAGTAGACAGGTGATACAAAAGCTGCAGTGAAGAAGATGTCATCCTTCTGGCTATACAGGAGTATGTAAAACACACAGAACAGGATTGCCGATTTATATTGGCAGTTTACAAACAAAACATTGTAAATGAGTATGTAGCCCATTGGTTTATGTCCCACCTTAAAGAACTGTGAGTGTTGTTGGAATTCAGATTATAAGTTTATTATGATTGCTAGAATGTAAATGCTAAAGCAACTCAGAGGCATCATGAATATACCCCTTGAACAAGCAAAAGGCAAATTGTTGGAACACCAGTGCAAATGCAAAAGCAACTCAGAAGCACCAGAAACCACACTGCGTGTGACTTGCTCTTAGTCTCCTGTCTGTGTCTATGAGCCCTTACTATATAACACTTATTTCTCTGCGTATAATGTATCTGTGTTCCTGGTGAAGAGTTCCCCTCTCTTCCTGTCTTGTAAAATATCAGTGGGATAGTAAGTAAGTGGAAATCCTGGATAGCAGTAAAAACATGACAGGGTTCTAACTAGGGTTGCACAGACACCAAGTACAGTACTCGGTACAAGTACGAGTACATGTATCGATACTTTTGAGCTCCAAGACTAGACTAGAGAAAAATTCAAAAATTAGGAGGCAGCTGTCATTTGTAAGGAGCACAAGGAGATCCTGGGGTTTGTACATCTCTGTTTTAATGTACAATTTTGTTTTTATAAATAAAGGGATGCACCGATACCAGTTTTGTGAGTATGAGTACTGGTACTTGCTGAGTACTTACAAGTACTAATACATTTTTGTTTATTGTCATGTGACAGTTTTTCTAAAACAATGCAGACTAATGATTTCAGGTGGTGGAGCACCAGAGCCAGGTCCCAGCTGCAACCGATGCAACCCTGGTAGTTCTCATGAAAATGCCAAGTATCTGCACTGGTACTCGAAAAGTATATGTGCATCCCTAGTTCTAACTCTCTCCCACCCTATCTGAAGCTAAAAAATAAATAAAAAGTTTTGGCTGGGTATACACTTTAAGTAGGCACATGTATTGTAAAAGACCTTTGAGTTGGGGTTTTAGAAAACACAGCCAAAGACATGTATTTCTATCATACAAGGATTTTTGTAAACATACTTCATAGGTAGCTAGAAGCTAAACCAAAGGTTGATTCGCAGACGTTTTCTTCTAACACCTTCTTGCTTTTCTGTGCAGCCTCCCCTAGTGAAAACGCAAACCGTGACCATCTCTAATGCTTCAGCCGCTGAGAAAGGGCAAATACCTACCAAGGAGGTCCCATTGGTACATACAGAGACTAAAACAATCACATATGAGGCAGCAAGAGTAAGTATTGGCCTTAAGGCCCAGCGGCTATGTAATTGTAATTTTGTAGGCAGCATGCAGAGTCCAGTAACTAAGAACCAGGGAAGGAAATATCCTAGGAGCCAGTTCCCTTAAATGATTAAATCTGGTGGCTAACTTTTGGAACTTAGCGAAAAAACATGTTGCCGGTCTACTTAATATTGTCTGCTGGTCTCAAGGTTCTACTGACTGGTTCCTGAACTATGAACTTTTTTACTGATGGCCACAGCAAAAGTCATAGTTACATAGTTGATAAAGGTAAAAGAAAAGTGTTTATTTAGTTCAAGCTGTGTGTGTTTTTGTGAGTTATTACACTTTCGCAGGTGAATTTGAGAAAATGGAATCGCCCCCTCCAATCTTCTTCTCCCCCTTCCTTGCTATACTTACCTTTGGGCGAACGCTCCTTCCCCTCTGCCGGTGCTAGTTTAGTATCTGTACTGCCGTGTAACGCAGCCCTGCACTCTGTATTTTGAATTTTGCTCGCAAATGGCGAGCACTCATTGGTCAGGATGGTCACTTGACTGTGCTGACCAATGAGAATCGCTTCTTGCACAGGTGACCTTGCTGACCAATGAGTGCTCGCCATTTGCAAGCGAAATTCAAAATACAGAGCGCAGGGCTGCGGTACATGGCAGTATGGAGAGTACACCATCGGAAGGGAAGGAGCGTTCCCCAAAAGTTAATTATAGCAGGAGGGGGCCAGATTGGAGGGGGTAATTCAATTTTCCCAAATTCACCTGGGAAAGTGGAATTACCCTTTAAGTCTCTAAGAATTCCCATACCCCTGTATATTATGCTCACTGAGGAAAACATCAAAAAGTTTTTTTAATCTATCTGCACTCGCAGCTGATACTACTACCTGGGGAGTAGTATCAGCTGCGAGACCATGTATTTGTTATACCTGGTCAATAGGAAAAGGGTGTTACATTTACTTACCCAACACTTGCTACGGCAGTGCTCCAGTCGGACTCCTGGGCCGACCTAGATTCTTGTGTAAGTATCGAGTCAGAAATAATAAAGGGCCTGTGTATGCTTTCTGTTGTCACATGACAGACCTCGGCCATGGTGATTTCCTGCCCAGGCTGCATTATGTAGAGGTAGAAGGAGTGTCACACATTACTGCATACCCAAATGCAGTTGGTATTTCACAGGCAAACCTGCTGGCGGTGGATCGAAGCAAGTTGGAAAAAGGTACAGTGTGAAACTATAGGGGCAAAGTACAGGTTCCCATTACACATTTTCCAACTAGTCCAATCACTCTTTTATGCTAAAATGTTATTAATACATTTCATTTAATGTAAGTCCACACATGTTTAGATCTTTGTATAATGTTATGTAAATATAATAGATTTTACAATGAGATTGTAACCTTTTTGGAGAGCCCTGCACTTAGTGTTATTGTTGTTATGCAATATTTAATACTCTGTCATCTTTCTGTTATTGGCTTGACCTGTAGTATGGAAACAATGTAGCACTTTAGATAAAGGGAATATTGACCTAGCATTACTTTTTTGCTAATTTCAACAGGGTGATGATGGTAACAATGATGGAGAACCTGGCATTCTGCTTACTGCCCACACGATTACCTCTGAAACAACCAGTAGTACCACCACAACCCAGATTACCAAGGTATAGTGCCCTAGTTTTCACATTATTAAAGAGGGACCTAAATTCAAAATGTGCGTATGCTTTATATAATTAGGTACCATGGCAGGAGTGGTAGAATGTGTAAAAATGTTCATGGTGCTTAATTTTTGGGTATGTGACTTAAATCTTGGACAGTGACAGCAGATAGCCATGCCTTTAGTAAATAAACATTCTAGTAATGTTAGAGTCATGTGACCTCATGCTGGGTTATGGTCTTGTGAGTAGGAACCTGAGTGTAAAGGGACTTCTTTAAAGTGAAGCTGTGCATTGCCATGCAGGGAAAGCATAAGTTCACTTCAAACTTCCTCCTTCCCTTGCCAAGCAACATATACTTGCCTTTCTTTTGCTTTCCCACTGTTCTGTTACGCTGCTGGAGAAAGAAAAGATGCACTGTGTAAGCTTTGAGTTACTGACGTTCTAGCTTAGACATGGGTGCTGGTACTTGGTGGTTGACCTAGATGTGTTACCTACTCCTGCATAATTGAATGTACTAGGGCAATCGCCTTGTCTCTGAGGCAATCGCGTTTTCTCCCTCTCTCCTTTTATGAATTGTAGTAAACATATGTTCAAACTCACCCTCTTGCAGGATGGGAGTTGGTGTTGGTTATTAGTCTTCATTAGGCTTTTCAATTGCAGTGGAAGAACTCCTTTCTTTATCGTACACCACAGGACACAAGGAGGTAATTCTTGAACAGATGGGTTATGCAGCTACCTTTAAGGTAATTGGACACTGACTCAGTCTGCCTTTGTTTTTTGATAGTGTTCTTAGGTGATGGGCGCATTTTCTCTACTCTGAGAGTTCTTCCTTTTCTCCTGCTCTTTTCTGATGAAGACTCTTCTAGCAACTTTCCCTTAATGCTACTCACACCAGCTGTGGCACCTAACAGCATCTAAATCGTTTTTCTCCATTGCAGACAATACCCAGACCCCACTGGAGGTAGGAAGCATAGCTGGCCTGTAATGTGCTTAGGGCATTAGATCCTGGATGGTACACTCACCTTGGCAATAATGACAGCACTTGTAGTTGCTGCAGGGTGCTGTCCAGGTCCAGGGCTGTCGTCCTTTGCAGTCTTGTCAAGTAATTGCAAACTTTTGGTGGTCCGTGAAATCAGATCTGTGTATGTCTGCAGTCAGTCTTTTTGGCTTACTTGGTAATGAGGAGTGACCTCTCTATACAAGGATTTTCTTAAGAGAAACTCTGTTTATGGCTGTAAACTAATTGTCACTAAATGGATGCATTAGGGTTCCCCTATGGTTTCTCAATGGACTACGATGGTTTATCATATCATTCATTTTATGTTCACAGAAATTGTCCTGTTAAACATCAACGAATATGGGATGTCTGGGAGGAGTATGCTTAAACTATTGCTATCTACTGTTACAAGAGTGTTTCCCACGGTGGTCTCTACCTACATTTACAATATTTGTATCGCTTCGTTGTATACTTCAGAGTTGTCTGTGTGTCGTGTACCACAATTGTTAAATTGGCAGCTAAGTGTTCTGTTTGGTAAATTGTCAAGTTTGTACCATTTTATTTTACAAGTTTAATATTATCTTTGTACTGTTTATTATTTGCAACAAAAAAGCTTTTCCTGTACATACTCTTTTACTGCCGGGTTTTCATTAAAAATGGACTGCCCCTGTTGTAGACTCAGCTATCTCTTGTTTGAACAGGCCTTTATTAACACATGTAAAGGATGTTCCTGTTTTCAAGGATCCCGTGGATAGGAGCTTAGAAGCCCTCTTTAAGGCATTATTTGCCTAAGGATGCATTGAACTTTGCACGATATTCTAATTATTCGAGTTTCACCTGTAGTTTTGCTGTGGGTAGGCAGCACTACCAATTTGTTGTCCTTCCATTCGGCCTGTCCTCTGCACCCCTGGTCTTCACCAAGGTGCTGGCCCCTTTTTTGGCTTTGCTTCAGTTTCAAGGGATCCCTCTAGTGGGGTACTTAGATGACTTTCTGAGAGCAGTCAGTGGCAAACCTTGTTGTCCAACATCCATCGAATGATACAAACCCTGAGATTCTGAAGGTCCTGAATCCCAAGAAATCGACACTGGAACCCTTCCATTGTTTGGAGTACCTGGGCCGGGGACCTAGCCCTGTCCGGGGTCTTCCTTCCCACGGGAAAGATCCTATCTCTTCTGTCACGCTCAGACCTTGCAGTCCAGGAGTCTCACTACTCTTCACTTTTGCATGAAGGTGCTGGGGTTGATTGTAGCCTCCTTCAAGGCAGTTCCCTATGCTTGGTTTCACTCCAGGCTTTTATAAAATTCTGGCTACGTGGGAGAAACTAGCATAGTCCCTGGACCTCCTCTTCACTTGCCCTTCTGTAGTGAATCTCCAATCATCTACTCCAGATGGTCTGGAAGGTTCCCACGATGGATGCCAGTCAGTCAGGCTGGGAGGAGACCTGGGGCGGAGTCCTGGGGCAACCTCTTGGTTCAAGGAACCTAGCCAAGGGTGGAATCTCATCTCCCAAGGAACATCATGGAGCTCAGGGCAATCCAGCTGGCCCTTCCTCGCAGGACTCCAAGTTACAGCGCACTTGACCAGGATTCAGTCAGAGAATCTCACAGCCGTGGCTTAAATCAACCATCAGGGAGGCACCAGAAGTCTCGCAGCTCAAAGAGAAACCTGACCTGGGATGTCCATGGCGAACGGGGCTGGAATGTGAAGTTTCACCCAGGTGTCGCAAATTGGGAGACAGACTGCCTCAGTCAGCAATGTCTGGATCCCGGAGAATGATCCCCTTACCCGGAGGTGTTTCAAGACCTTTGCTTGAAGTGGGGGATGCCAGACATGGACCTCCTGGTGTCCAGGTTCAATGACAAGCTGGATAGGTTTGATGGTCATGGCCATGAATCCCTGGGCCTTCACTGTAGATGCCTTTGGTGACTCCGTGGGATCAGTTCAGCCTAATCTATTCCTTTCTTCCTCTGATATCCTTATCTTGCCTCCTTTGCAGGATTGAGACGGAGGGTATTCCAGTAATCCTCACTGGCCCAGGTGACTGTGGTACACGGACGTTGTCAAACTCCTGGCAGACTCTCCACTGACACTTCAGGAGTGTTAGTACTTCTTGGGCCGTCCAGCATCATGGTTAATTTTCCCAAAACTGCAAGGGTGCCACGTGGTCCTATGTTCATACATTTGCCAAGTTTTACAAGGTAGATGTTCAGGCTTCTGTGAATGCTAGCTTTGGTTGCAAGGTTCTTCAGGCAACTCTCTGAATTGTGGGTTCTTTCCATTGTTTTTCCATGTAAAAGTTATGTTTCCACGTGGCTGTTTTTTTGCTGTGTTGCCCACCTCTCTGTTGGATTGATTTTGGGTGTCCTACCCATTCTAGATTTTACTCACTGTGTCTTGTGATGTACAGAAAACAGGATTTTTGTCTTACCTGTAAAATCACTTCTAAGGAGTACATCACAGGACCCTCCCCTCTCGTTTCTGTGATCCACTATTGTACTGCGTTTCACAAAACTGAGGCAGGCTAGGAGTTGGATGGTTATGCAGGGCTGTCCTAAAAGCTTTGACATGTCAAAGTCCAATCACCTGAAGGTAGCTGCATAACCCATCAGTTTAGGAATGAATGAACTTGTGTCATGTAATGTACTTCAAGATAAAAAAAATATTTTTCTATTTGTCAGCAAGCAATTGTCATCTTTTTCTAAATCTGATTCACTTTTTTTTTTTCTCTAGACTGTTAAAGGTGGTATCTCTGAGACTCGAATAGAGAAGAGGATAGTCATCACTGGTGATGGAGACCTGGATCATGACCAGGTAGCAGAGTAATAAATAAATGACTTCCTAAGTAAATCATCATGTACCTTTCTAAATGAACAACAAAAGAGTAATAAAGTATTGCATCTCATCAGGTTTTGGTTCAGGCGATCAAAGAAGCAAAGGAGCAGCATCCTGACATGTCGGTAACCAAAGTGGTGGTTCACCAAGAGACTGAAATAGCAGAGGAATAATTACAGGTAAATTGTGCCTATACCACACACAAACTCTCTCTAAAACAAATTCAAGGCTGTTTATATTTTCCACATAGACCACATACTATCTTTAACCAACTTAATAGCAGCATATTACACCCCCTTCCCTTTCAGGCCATTGTTTAGGTCTGTGAGTTTGACTTGTCATGCAACACTGTGTGAAAATTAATTTTAGACCATTTTTAATAACCGTGGTGTGTTTCCGAAAAAAACAAGAAAAGACCATAAAGTTTGTGGAAAAAAACAAAGGTTTCCCTTATTTCCTGTCATAAAGCGTGTCAAATAAATAGTCCTCACAGAATTTCTGTGCCTGGTGGATCTCAGATACTTCTTTTAGGGCTTGTTTACACCAGGTACGTGGGACAGCATTGATCTACTGATAAATCAGTTGTTTACACCATGCAGGTGCGATGCATAAAATGTAGCATGTCTGCATTTTTATGCAGCACACAACACGTTACAACACAGCTCAACCCTGGGGTGTGAAAATTAAAAACTACTTGTCCAAGGACTAAAATGAGGGGCCCAATCTACTTGTCCCTACTTGTCATGATACAAAAAATCATTTTAACCAAAACCGTATTTAACCGTGCTAAGAAGTGCTTGCAATTTACAAGTGAAATTCTAAATCCATGGCGAAGGGCTGCCTCTGGACGGCAGTACGGGGTAAGTATAACAGGGGCGGGGAGGGGGCCAGATTTCAGCAGGTAATTCAATTTTCACCTGGGAAAGTGAACTTGCCCTTTAATGCGCATTATGCGTGTTAGAGAGTGCTGCTGCCCGGCTACCACAACATGCACACAGTAGAATGGAGGCAGCAGTTCTTACAATTCACATGCAGGTGATGGGGTCTTTAATATATGGTTTTATAATATATATATTATTTCTGGGCTCTGTTCACACCAGTGCAGTCCGTTCCGGTGCAGGGGGAAAAAATGTTGAATGCACTATTTTTTTCTGGTCTGGAACGCATCAAAACACACTGGACTGCACCAGAAAGCCCATTTTAAGCTAAAAGAAACAAACCGCACCAGAACACGTGAAAAACACATTGCACTGCTTTTGCAGATCTGCTCCATGGTATGAACAAGCCCTTAATGTAGGAAAAAAACCAGCCCGGCGCCCGGAAACTTCATCTCAGGACGTTCTCTAGTTTCAGAACAGTGATGCAGCCCCCTGTGTGTAACCTTGTCTCTGATGTCTCCCAGTATGTGTAAGCCTCCAGATGTGGCAATGACATCCTGGTATATAACTTTTCAGTACTGAGCTCTGCATTGTGGCTCTTCTCACATTATGTGTACCATGCTCCAGGTCCAGAGAGTTGATGTAATTTGCGTTGACCAGTCATTGAACACTTTTCTTCTCAGTGTACCTCTGAATACAGTGATTTGAGCCTATCACCTGACCTTTATGTATTGGGCTCTATTTTGTGGCGCTTTGTGCTGTGTCCATTTATCGCAGACTACTTTCCAGTCTGTGTAGGTCTCTGCGAGTAAGTCCCAGTAGTAGCATATCTTGATATGTTGGTGTCACCCAGCATGTCTTAATACATTTTAGGATTGAGGCCAGCTGGGCTGCAGCAGAGGAACTGCGACACAATTTTTAAAAGCCACCTTATTTTTAACGGGTGTCAGCACTGATATCATGTGCCAGGGAGATTGTTGGGCACGCGCCCCCTACCATGATGCTGGAGTGTTGCAAGGAGATGATCTGTTTCCTCCGGAACACAGCCCCCAAATGTAGTACAGCGTACATCATCTGGAAAATTCTATAGTAATTTGGAAGGTGATTTTCATTGCTGACACAGATGAAATTGTAATATTTGTCAGGCAGTTTCTGTTTTCTAGAGCAGGTAGGAATGAGGTGGGGGCCAGTGGAAAGTATTTTTTTCTTATCAAGCGTAAGGGGGTTATTGCTTTTTGTGATAGGACTTCTTTCTGGATAGCACACTGCTATGCAATCCCCTACGACCTCCCCTGTTATAGATAACACGTGTAATATTGCAGATGAGTTACTTGGGTATTTATTCAGATTTTTATTCTTTCAGGTCTTCATCTCAAGTCTGCAATGGGACCACGGAAATGATGATATACTTAACAGAAAACCAGCATGTTTCCTCACAATGCCCCCCACCCCTGGATATATCACTTGGCAAGACTCATCATGAAGTACCTGGTTGAACACTGCAATCTCTTCTAAAGCAATACTTACCTCTCACCCTCAGATTCTTTTAACAGAACCTAAGTAGCCTCGGCGTGGGAGGGTTCCAGGCTTGGACAGTCGAACAATTATTTATAAGACTTCAAATTGTTATCACTTCTCTTGTAAAGTGTTGTTGCATACTGTGAATAATGAATGTAACTTGTACATCTTGTACACTGGAAATGTCAGTTTAGACACTGTTTAGGTTGCTGACCTTTGTGTAACTTCTTGTCAGCAGTCTTCTCTTTAGTAATGGAGTGAGGGAAAGACAGTACGGTGCTATAGTTTGCAGTGCACATGTTGGATTTAGTGTCCACAACCTGTGTAGAGAAGTTTGTGTGTGTCATCTCTGCCTTATTTAGTTCTTGAAAATGATGTATCACTGAGTTTACACTAGTGTCACCTTGTGTAGGATACAGTCCAGGTCATCACTCTTAGTTCTCTTTTTATCGTGTCACCTCAACTTCTGATTCTTTTACTCTGTTAACTTTAAGTGTCACATTGCAGTGAAAGACACAAATGGTGTGCGTATCTTCCTTCTGTCTGGTATCACTGTTTTCTCTGTATAGAGTCGATCAACATGCCTGCCCCCAATCTTAAATCTTTATTTTAGACAGCTGAATGAGTCAAGGAGGAGAATAAGATAGTATATCCTGCATTTATTTTTAGAGCATTGGGAAGCGTGGAGCTTCCCAAACTTTCACCTGCTTGTACCCTACATAAGGAGGATACAGGGGTGAGGGTCATTAAACCGAAACAACAATTATGTGTGAATCCTACTTTTTTAACCATTTTCTTATATTTGCTATTATTGGATCTCATTCAAAGAAAATGAAAAACATTTAAAAAAAAAAAAAAGACAGACCTCATGATGTATTATTTTCTACTTTTAAATAATGAAGGATATTTGTAAATGTGGTTTCATTCAATTTTTATATATGCAGATGAATTGTGATAGGTCGTACTTTAGCATATTTTACTGGCTTCTGAGGTGTGAAAGTACATTTTCATCATGTTGTTGCAAGATTACACATTGAAGTAAATATTTGTAGCTTCTAAGATGGTTGTCTGTGTTTTTGTTTTTTTTCTGTTGTAGATGCACCTCTTAGGTTAGGGTCACACCATTTTCCGGATCAGATCTGAAATGCAAAGCATTGCTTTTTGCTGCGGTTTTACCACAATTTTGCCGCATTCCGGAGCAAGTTTTATGTTAACATTTAAAATGGGCTTTCATGTGCGTTCTTATGCGTCACGGGAGGAGATTGGTATATGTTCTCCTGTGACCCTAAAGAGAACTATGGGGGAAAACATTTACCCCATAGTTCTCTTTTAAGGAATACAGAGTTGTATTCATTTGTGTCTATATCTTTCTGGGGTTTAGCTAAGTAAAATGTAACCGGGGCATTTTCATTTGGAAAAACTGGAAGAATGGAAACCTGAGGTCTGCTTACCCCAAACCAGCAATCAGATTGCAAGCAGTGATTGTTTGGCTTCAGACAGTAATATGATAGTAAGCACCACACATGACTCCTTTGCATGACACGTTGTTTCATTTGGGTCAACTCCACTTTTGTTGAACAAAAAAAACATCTGGAACGTGATTACATTGCAATATTATACAAAAGCAACAGTGTTTACATGACATGATCAGTGGATTGGTTGTAATGAGAGAAATATAACACCCCTGTAGATGTCAAAGAAAACTTCAAGCACACTTTCCAAATCCTCCACACACTCAACATATCCATGCCATAAATACAGTAATACCCCTGTACATGTTTGATGAAGAAGAAACTGGCAGCACCCGTAGTCTTCAACATCTGTGCAGAGTTCATAATGTACAAATGCTACGTGAATTCAACAATTTTATAAATACATGCGGAATGTCAAAAACATGGCACCTGGAGGACAGACTTGTGCTTGTCCCTGTGGGTGGACATCTAAACATTTCCACTTTTTACTGCTGGTGTTACATTAAGTATTGCCCAGGTGGTTCAGTCTGCTAAATGTAGTTCACTGGCCCCATAACAGAAACAGTAAGTGCCTATCTAGTGAGGGGATTTATTTTGTGTTCAGGCAGATCATACTGCCAAAGCCCTGCTCTAGGTAACGGCAATAAAATCAAATTAAAAAGGAGAGAAGTTCACATGTCCATCTTACAGTGACAACTATGAGGTCTGGTTTAGAAAAAATGAAGTGTGTTCTTACTGGTTACAATGGAAGAGGCTGCTTACCATCAAGATTAGTTTAATGCGTCCCGGGACAAGCATCTCTCCCAATCCATGTATGCTTACATGCGGACACATGCGACAGCTGTCACCCTGTCAACTTATATGGGCTTAGTGGCTGCATCTGGACAACAGTATAAAGACAATGCGTTTGAGTAGGATCATGAACTAAAGCTAATATGACGATTACAGCATACGACTGACATTTTCTGAGTCTCACACACGCTTTCTATCTTTATACTAGCACTCAAGTAGTTAAATACAGCTTTTATGCTAGTTCATTGGATTGGGTCATCTGCTTCCAATTGCTGTGTTACATATTCTGCTCTCAGAAAATTCCTGTGAAGGAGGAATTGGGAGGGAACTACACAGGAATGTTATGGCTCTCTGTACATGAGTTCCCATTTGGTCTATATCCCCCTGACATCGCTGGAAATAATGCCTCCTGACACGCATTTTGTGTGTTCTGAGTTGTCCTTTCCACCCGCTTCTGAGCTAGAAATATGAAAGACTTTTTTTAATCTACTGTGTTTATAAAAATTCCTGTAACAGAAGATGGTTCTCGTATAATGTGAGCACAGAAATGTATCTGCTCATATTATGTTGGTTCTATTACTTGCACATACATTTAGTCCGAAGATGACAACATTTGGGGTCTCCTTCGGGGGCCATTTTCCAGTGATCCAAGAGTATGTGGAGGGTCGGGATTGATACAGTTAACAAATCCTTTGCACAGAAAGCTGATCTCGGAAAGTGGGTCTGTGTGGATAGGAAGTGTCGTTTCCACATCTGGATCCAATCGCCTCCTCCCCAAATGGGCGCCTTTCAATTAAATACTTAACTCTCTCGGATGTATCATTACACCGTAAATACACATGTGCCGTACTACAACACATGAGTGAAACATTGATACATTTAGTGATTAGTAAACAAACCTCAAAACCACTTTAAAGTAGAACCCCAGACTTTCTTTTTCTTCGGATAGAGAGGTTTTTTTTATTGCTGTCTCTAATGATGATTTTCTCTTACTTCCTGTCCTGGGGTCACAACAAAAAGTAAGGAAATCTCAGTAGAGACAAAGGCAGCAACAAAAACCTGATGAATGTTCTAACCAATGCTAATAATAAAAGTGTTTGCTGTTGGTGTCTTGATTTCCTGTTCCAGTGACATAGCAGAAAGTGAGGTTGACTGGAATTTCATTTTATTGTTCAAACACTGAATACCCATGACAAGTCTGTTGGGGATAAGAAGAACTTGTCTAACAAAGAGTGCTTCACTACACGTAATTCCCATGAAATGGAGACACTTCTATGTATTAAACGTCTGGTCCCAACAACCCTGCAAAGTATTTGGTCCATTGACATTGCGTCCATCTAGCCATTCCTTTAGGCAACTTCTGGCACAGTCTCTTGGCTGCTTTCTCTGGTTCCATCTAATTCATCCTCCATAGTAACAAGTACTTCTGGGCAATTCTCTTCTCCATTCTCCAGCCTTGGCCAGCTCCGACACTTTGTACCCCTGTGTGGTACTGCAGCAGCCTCTTTTGCTGTTCTCTGCCCTATGTTCAGCCTGATATCAGAGCTGTAGCACCTCTCGTTCTCCTTATGTCTAAGCCTGCCTGCCAGTTGTGGTAGGGATGAAATACATGGATCGGAGTGCAGGCTCACAAGCGATACAGACAGGTCATTAATGGGTGGACACAAAAGCTGTGCCCTGATTAATATGTTCCTTCTGTTGTCCAGCTCCCCAGAGCTGTCACTCCATGTGTTCTGACTTTGCACTTTAACCCCGTTGCTCGCAGATATAGCAATGTCTGTAGGCCTTCGTGTACCGACCCTGTTTTGGAGAAGTCTCCTTGTCTCCATATCCCTATTTTCATACAAAAGTGTATTGGCGCATATAAACACAAACAGCCCAAATCCCATTAGAACTGGACCGATCAGTTTCAGTTTCTCTACAGATTGTCTGGGCTGTGGGGGTTGGATGGCTTGTGAAAGGCTACTAGATTTGTTGGGCCAGTAGCCGATCACAGCCACGATAAGTCCTATTAAAACAAAAAGAATCCCTATGAATACAAAGGCTCCAGGCAGGGAGTGAAGACGAAGCTGCCCCTTAGGTGGAGCATCTGGTGGTGGAGGGGAAGAACGACACCGCTGGAATAAACCTAGAAAACGAGGAAAGACATGTACATCCAGGTGCTGAGTAGTTAGACGCTTCATAATGGAAGAGATCTAGGGGAGAAGAAAAAGTGTGTCAGTGCTAAACATCATCTACTGTATATGTAGGCACACAGGGCAGTTTACTTGCACTTCATTTTCATCTGTTGGTCATTTTTGGTGCTTTGGATTTTTTTCTTATTAAGTGTACATGCACATATTCTGTATGCTGACAATGATTCGTTTTTATGCAGTTCTACTAAAGAGCCTTACTTCCAGCCATCTGATATTGGGGAAAGAATAACAATTTCAGGAGTAGGGTCCACCAGGGTGACATCAGAGCTTTTTAGCCAATGTCCTGTTATTGCCAAACAGTCCTTAAACACTGTATGTAGAATATACAATGTCAGTATCCACTATTACATGTTTTTTAAATATGTTGACTTTATGGTGGACACATCCCCAAACTTCATCAAGGCAAGCAAGGATGCTCAGATAACCACTGTGCCACATGCCTATGTGGTAAACACAGTCCAAGCTTTAAGAATTAGGCTTCATATCCCTGGGCATCAAAGAGGGTTGCCTACTCATCCCTTAAATGACAGACTCACCGGTGTTATGTAGATCCTTTGGTTAGACCTTCTTACCTACACTCAATCAGCCACCGAGCCTATGTAATTCACGTCGTTTATCACTACTACTGAATGCCCAACATGGTGGCTCCCCCGGGTACAATTGACATTAATATGTGAAAAACAGACATGGTCACTGTTACACTATATGTTGCTAATCCTGTTTATATGAATGAAAACTTGCCACGTAAAGACCTTTATTACAGGTGTCTTTTTTTCCCTTCTAGATAAAGCTTGTGGTAAATAACAAAGAATGGACAACCACAGAACACAGGCCATCAGGCAATGAGTGGGACAATTATAATTGTTTTGTCTCTTGGTGCCTGGAACCATATTATACCATGTGAGTGTCCTTACAGGTTATTACTGTTCATACCGGGCTTGCTGTACACAGTGGTGAAAGTAACACAATCCACCCTTCATTGCCAGATCATTCTATGAAAATGTGCTTCTCAGGAGGCAGTTCCAATTCGGATATTAAACTGACACTAAACTCAGGAGTTACATCTTATAAATGCAGTAGCCACCCTCCAGCAGGAAGGACTATTCAACACTAATTCAGAGATGATTTGAGGATCTACAGCCGAGTGATACACAAATACGATACATTTCTGTTAATGGTTCAGGTACTTGAATGTATTTTTAAGTTTTAACTCCTAAGTTTAGTGCCACTTTAAATGTTGGGTGGGTCATGTTTGGTTCTTTAGTCATTTTAGTGCTAGAATGCAGTCTCACTTGACACAATGCCCAATGCCTGAATGGAAGTTGATGTTTTGTCTGATCACCATTGGTTTCTCATTGCACATAAAATATTCCCACACAGGGAAGGTCAGCTGTGTCCAGTAAAATGCCAGGAGCGGGCCATATATGGCATGATGGGGTAGAGGACACGAAGGGAAGAGAAAAAACAGCAAAAGAAGTAAGGCTGCCAAGCAAATGTGCCCTCTCCTCTCTCAGGGACCTCTATTAAGTCCTTATGACTTCCACTGCACTTCTGTCTTACCTGTTAGAAGTATGGCGAGTTAGAAGACCACTTTAAGCAAACATTTAAAAGGACACTCGTACAGAAAGAATAACTTAAGCTGCCATTGCTGATCTTTCCTTCTGAAAATGCTAGTCTCCTCACTGTCACGCTGATCCTAGGGATTCAATACTTTTTAGAGTTACAGGCTACGAAATAGTATGCAGATCCTTGCACCATGCTCGTTCCAGCTGGGAGAGAATCAACAAGTATTTACATAATGATGTCAGTACAAGTTATCAATTATCAGCACTTGTGGATTAATAAACCGGACCATGAGCCACTAAACATGGTGGATTGATAAATCTACCATCTACTAAAGCTACTCAGGACCTCTACAGCCAACTATTGCTGCCTGCGTGTCAATATACGCTGCATATCTATAAACTGTGGTCACTCCAAAGCATAATAAACATAACACATAAGAACAAAATAGCCGTGTCTGGATTTATGTTTACAGGTAGTAACTTATACATGTGTACACATGGTAGTACATACCTCTGTATTTAACAAAAATCAATCTAAAGCATTCTCTGTAACAGTCTCCCGCTCGACAAGCATTTCTGGGAATTGATCCTTTCTAAAAAAGAATAAACGTTTTCCTTTAAAGTGCTAAAAACGTAAAGTCTCTGCCATGGCGACACCTGTTCCATATGAACTGGAAACCTCGCATAAGTCTGACCACTGCATGCCTCCTCTTGTCCTCTGCTCTTCTATACCTCCTAAGAAAGAAAGTTTGGGTTAAGAATCAGAGTTTCTGGAACAGGGAGGGAACATGAGTCGGGGAAAGGGGAGGAGAGCATTGTTAAAGAGACACAGGCACACTTTCTAAGTATTGAAATCTTCATGACCAGAGCGCTGCCTTCTACAATGAAAGTACTCGATACTGCTATTCTAAAATACGTCTTTACATACACACATCTCATTACGTTTAAAGTTTGGGGGATGTTTACTATACTTGGCATCACAGTATCACACTGTTAATAGTAGGGATGTTCAGATAGCAGTGCCGATACTTGGCATTTTCATGAGAACTACCAGGGTTGCAGCGGCTGCAGCTGGGACCTGGCCCTGGTGCTCCACCACTGTCCTGAAATCATTTGTCTGTATTGTTTTAGAAAAACTGTCACATGACAATAACCATAAATGTACCAGTACTTGTATCTGTGAGTACTTGGACCAGTATCAGTACTTGTACTTGCAAAAATGGTATCTGTGCATCCCTTTTATATATTTATAAAAAAACACATCATACATTAAAACAGAGATGTACAAATCCCAGGAGCTCCGTGTGCTTCTTGAACATGACAGTTGCCTCTTAACTTCTGAATTTTACTCTAGTCTAGCTGGAAAATTATCTGTACTTGAACCGAGTACGGTACTTTGTATCTGAACATCCCTAGTTAATAGATATAAAACACTCATAGGCATGTATGCCTAAAGAATTGTGGATCCATTCCTGTAAAATGAAAACCTGCCATAAGAGTGATATAGGGGATGCCATTCCCGACTATGAAAATGCCAGTTACTTGGTTGTTCTTGTCTTCAGATGTTTCTACATTTATATTCTGAGTACTAAACCAGAAAAATGCCACAAACTCCCTTTCTGCATACTTTTCCTTGTCAGCGACAAAGTATTAAAGGCAGAGGGTCACCATAATATCCAGGAGAGGCCAGCAGTGGCAGCCCCTATGGTTCTCTCATGTCTGAAGAGTTGGTGAGTAGTGAGTTGGATACTCCAATACTCAGATATTGAAATCATATTGCTTGGTTACAGGACGTGTCTATTGCCTAAATACTCTGTGCTAAAGGGTATTCCTTTTTACCATCTCAGAACACTGGGAGGTATGATACTGCTGTTCTCCAGGGTGTGCACAGGAGGAGACATGATTGGTGGTCAAAGTCTGGTACCCAGGGACATTCGTATAATTGAGCTGTCCACCATCGCTATCCCCCTGTCCCTCTTTGAACAAATAGGCTGCGCATGCCTTATCCCACCAATGACCGTTTTCTGACAGCACCCCCACCCTACCCCCCCTCCCCCAGAATGACATCCGCTCAGGAGGTGGTTTACCTAGGGACAGCCCTGCTGGTACTCTGCACCTAACAGTGTGCATTTGCAGGAGCATTAGTCTTCCAGGAAGATTGGTGCTGGCACCTTTTGGCTTCAAACCAAAATTTGCGTTTTTACCCCACCGCGGTCCTTTGCAGTGACATACATTCAGAATTTGTTGCAGTGTCTTCTTTAAGAATGGCACCTCAACACACAACTACAGTATGTTTAAACCAAATTAACAGCGCTAGTAGGTGAATCAAAAAACCATATAGTCGTGTTTGTGAACCACAAATCATAAAAAAACCACATCAATGCAAGTGCCGTTAATCAATAAAAAAACACGGCACTGTAATAGTTAATAAACCTGTGTACGATTAGAAGGTGATTTTTAACCAAGTGCTTCTAGGTGTCTCAGTGTGTAAAAATAAAGTGGATCAGTCTATACACATTAAAAAATCCTTCACTTTTTTTTACACCTTCATGTGCATTAATACCATTAAGTGACAAATCATATGCGTGAAAAAGTTCAGGTGGGTAAACCAAAAATACAAACGAAAATAATTGTGAATGACAATTAATTGTGCTAACAAAATATATATATATAAACAGATAAAGTCTCTGTAATATACAGCTCCGCTTGCATTGCTGTGGTTTTTTTATGATTTGTAGTTCACAAACACGATTATATGGTTTTTTTATTCACTTACTAGCGCTGTTAATTTAGTTTAAACATCTTCAGACCCAGCGGTCTTTAATACAGCAGCTTGTATTTTACATCACATTATTTATTTATATTGATGTGTTGACACGATAAAAATTCATCACATTGACTTTGCAGTATTTAATATAAGTAATGTGTTAAGGAAACACTATTTTGGTTTAAATCACTGCCACCTGTATGATATACAGCTAATTGAACTCCTAGCACTGCTTATCTTGTTAGGGTGCCCACACACCTTACGATTATCGTACGATAATCGCTGGAAATCCCGCGATCGTACGATGTTCGTAAGGTGTGTGGAAGCCGTGCGACCTCTACTACTGTAAGGTCGCACGACTTTAAACTTACGGACATGTTTGAAAACCCGCCGAGCATCGTACGATGTTCGGCGGGTTTGTGGCCGGTGTGCGCAAGCGCACACTGCCCGTTCGGCATTGCGGTCATCGGAAGCCCGCCCCTCAGGGGGCGTGGCTTGCGATCATGGCAAGTACGATCTGCCTATGCAACATAGGCAGATCGTACTTTTTTTAAGTACCTTACAACCATCGCAAGACAAAAGTCTTGCGATGGTTGTAAGGTGTGTGCCCAGCCTTATATCACACAACTACAGTAGCTTGCAGCTCACTTGCACAATCTA